CGGCTCCCACGTGCCCCGGGGCCGCCTGCTGGAGACACTGCCCGGTTCTTCCCCCGCAGGCTGTTCTGCAGGCGGCGGTGGCGCACCTGGGGGAGTGCGGGTAACCTGTGGAGCTACCCAAGGACGGGCCTTCAGCGCGGGGCTCGAGTTAGTTGTTCCAGCCTTTCCCTGGAGCTGAGGCTCACCGGTTCCTGCGGAAGCAGGTCTACGAGTTCGTTGGGGAACCTTTCAGGAGTCTCCCCGGCGTTTGACCGTCTAACTGTGTAGTAGCAAACAGACGATGTATATTCCCAAGGTCTCACCTTTCAAGTTAAGACTTTGGGGCTCATTGGCTGGTGGGAGCTTTAGGGGAGCGCACCCGGCCCTCCCGGAGCAGGTGAGGCTTATGCCACCCTGGGAAGGGCGCCCCCTGCGCCTTGTGCGGCATTAACCGCCGGGGCGCGCATCAGCCGTGCGGCCCGAAGATCACGGCTGACGATCGCCTGGAGCCCGCGACGCGGTCAGTAGGTCCGAACAAAATAAGTTTTACTTCTCTCTTTTTGAGAAAAGGGGTTTCCCTTCAGGATCTCAGCCCTTTGCGGACTTGAAAACGTCCTATTTGGATAAGGCCAGGAAACTGGGATTTGCTATGTGTTTTACATTTTATTTGTAAACTATTCTAGAAGTAGGGTAATGGTCAGTAAAGTAGAATAAGTTGCTTTAACACTAAAGTGTTTCATGGATTTAAATTATATCCACCGGTTGTATATTTAGCCTGAGATTTGTTTTATCCAGATGAAGAGGTACAGCACCTGCTTTTGCTAGAATAATCTGAGAGAGACAATAACTTTTGTTTATTTTTGCTGAATTTTTTGTTTGTTTTGTTGAATTGTGCATGTGACAATCTGGCTTTGCAGATCATATTTTGAGATCATTTAACAAAAGGATCATGTTCATCCTGATCCTAGACATTTTTTCTATTTACCTATGCTAATTGAGGTCCATACCACATCCCATCAAATCCTCACGGTATTATCCCCATTATATAAATGAACGGAGGCTTAGAACATTAGCTAACTTATTCTGAGTAAAACAGCTGATACATGTTTGATTTCAGAGGCCAGAATCCAAACTCTCAACCATTTTGCCTCATTGGGTGATGTTGGCTTTTCAAGTAGATAATGCTTAAATCCACAATATGGCCATTGCCCAAAATATTGTGGGAGAAGATAAAAACATTATTGAAATTCCTCTTTTAAAATATCCTTCACAGTCTGTTGCATAGTTTCATAAATATCCTCAGTTGGAGGAGGTGGGGAGACTGAACAAGTTAGCCAGCAGGATAGAATGTGGGAGTGCAATGAGAGACATCAAGGAGGGAGGGCAGGGGGGAGGGGCTATTACTTAGGGCTCTTGGTGGCAAGTGACAGAAACCCACCTTGAACAGCCTTAGGGCCAGAAGGGACTTTATGAACTCTTTAACAAAAAAGTCCAAGGATTAAGGTAACTTCAGAAATGCTGTATTCAAGAGTTCAAATACGTTGCCAGGAGATGGCTCTTTACAGTTCTGATTACATCTATCAAATCTCAGGCAAACCATAGTCAAACTGTCCTCAGACTGCTGGGGATTGGGGCATCGGGGAGAACATGACACTTCAAATAGCGGGGTCTTTCTAAAGCGAGTCGCAGGTTTCAAAGGCCACCATAATGGGTACCCAGTTAGGAAATGAAATCATACTGAGTCCATATCACATAATGAACTTAACTACCACCACCCTCCCCCC